TGATAGTAAGTTTGGATAATCGATTAAATAATTTGTCAATAACATTTGTACATTACTGTAATTTTTATATTTTTATGTATTATTAGGGCTTAATATGATTGATTAATACACAAAATAGCGTGTTTTACTGTGATTTAATTTATAGGAAATCAAATCAGAAGATTTCTTAGTAAAAAACTACTTATCGCCAATTTATCTGGTTGACTTCTCAGTTTATCGCATTCATGTACAATAATAAAATTCGACCAAATGGGCAAGAAATTGAATTTTTTAAACATTAAACGAATCAAATTAAGAAACTAGGTAATTGCAGTATAATTTTAGAAGTATCTTATTGTTATTTATAAAAAATTTATTTTTGATATATTAATAGTTTCTGTGTCGAAATTGTTAACGACCTTGATGTAGAATATACAATATACAATGTTAAGTCAGGATAAATAAATTTATTTAAACTTGATTTTTAGTTATTCGGAATTTAAAGCTTTTATAAAATTAATGGGTAATGTTTATAATTTGTAGTTATATTGTACTTATAGGTATGTACTTTTTTTTTAAATACCTAAATGAAATTAATTGACACTGCATTATGTATACATATACAGGGAGCCATACGGTGACTGCCCATTAAAATATTTCAGAAAAAATTAAAATTAAAAAATTATACAGGGTGATGAAAACTTAATGCCGTCTTTGCACAACACCCAACCATCAAACTTCTTTTTTTAAATGGAATACCCTGTATTTTTTTCAGATTCAGTTATAGAATTGCTCTCTCTATCTACCCATATTACACATCTCTACACTCATCTCTTTTAGTTTTTCTGTTACTTACGTTTGTTATTATAAGTAATTAAAATGATCGAATTTCTAGCGAAGATAGCTACGGAATTGCTAGTAAACTTAAAAACAAACAAAAGCAACAAATTTATCATCACTTGTAGTATTAGTAGTGATGGTTTTAGTTCGTGGGATAGAGCCCCCTTTCTTTTTTAATGATTAATAATATAAAGCAGAGGATAGCGCAGGGTCGTGTCGCCTTTAATAAAAAGAAGTCACTTCTATGCTCGCGAACGGTTAATTTAAAAATTCGAAAAAGGTTGTTAAAGGTGTATGTTTGGAGCACGGCGTTGTACGGGTGCGAANATAACACTCACTTTCTGACTTTGCCTCTACAGTTCAAGTTGCATTCGCTTAAAATGTGATATCCGCTCAACAGTTTATACAATGTGAATAGATACAAATTGTTTCCGTTCCAAGAAGTAGGGATGGGCGATGTTGAAAAAAATCATCGATGTATGACCATCGATGTTCCAATATTTATTACATCGATTGTTCGATGTTTTCTTAATATTTTGTCTGACGAAAATACTGCTGTAATGAGCTACCACCGCGAAAATGCCGTACATACGAATTTTTGTTTTTCAATACATACACAGTTCACTTTTGTTTAATGATTATTAATGTTGTTTCAGAGCGACAGCCTAAATATGACGTATCAAGAGATTATGTTTTCTGATTAATATATGTGGAACAAAAAGAGTATTTCATAGATTAGGGTGATTCCTATAGCCAGTCCGACAAAAATTATTAAAATTAAATAATAAAAATAAATTTCTTATAATCTAATAACTAGAAACAGACAAGAAAAAGGAATTAATTACCATTTTTAATGAAGTAAATCAGTAACATGCACACTCATGGAAAGATCCCTTCCTTCCACATTAATTCTGCTGTTCTGCTTCTGAAACGTTGTTTGAAAGTTGTCTGCTGAAGCAAATTACAAATGTCTAACAAATTGAAGTTTCTGGGATCTCATTTATTATTTTTAATTGATACTGTTACATACCATTGTCATAAATCCTTTCTTCAGCACACTGTCTCCGTTCCCAATAGAAAAAAGACACTTTCATTCAGGTACAACTACGTTGACTTGTGGGCTTATCGCATTCCTGTGGTACAGTAAAATTCAATCAAACGGACAAGAAATTGAATTTTCTAAACATTAAACGAATGAAACTAAGAAACTTGGTAATTGCAGTACAACATTTTTGAAGTACCTTATTGTTATTTATAAANATTTAGTCTTGCATTCATAACATACTGAAAGCTAATAATATACATCCATACAAGTTCACCAAGAAGATGCTGAGCAACGGATATCATTTTGTGAAATGATTTTAATCCCAATTCAAGATCTACAATTTTTGCAAAATGTAGTATTAGCGGACGAACCAAAATTCACTAGAATTTTAACGTTTTTAACAAGCACATCGGACAGTTTTGGTCTTCTTTAGTGTAAATGTGATCTGATCAAATATAATCAAATTTTTAGATTTTGTTCCACACTAATTCGACCATATTGTAACTCATTCCTTAAAATTCTTCTTAACTTTTTTCTAACTATTGGTGGCAAATTGGAGTATCTCGTTAAAAGTTCTGAATGTTCTGTATATAATTCTATAGCACTGCCCATGGACGAATAATAAATTCAAAATTATCAGCATTTGTATACGTATTGTTTTTCATGATTTCGAAATTAATAGTTAACTACCAGTGATAATAGCAAGTGATGACAAAACTATTGTTTTTTGTCTGTTTTCATAATTGCTAGCAATTCCATAGCTATCTTCGCTAGAAATTTGATAATTTTAGTTACTTATAATAAAAAACGTAATTAACAGAAAAATTAAAAGAAATGGGTATAGGGAAGTGTAAAATCGAATAGTAGAATAAAAATACATTTTTTGATAAAGTTGAAAATCTCGAACACTAGTAGACCTAAACATAGGGATGCTTCATAAAAGTCCCCATAATACGTAGATTCTAAAAATTCAGAAATATACAGGGTGTTACATTTAAAATAAGAAAGTTGATGTATAACCAGAAATACTACAAAATGTCATCATCATAAGGTCATCAGTCTTAAGATTGGTTAGACACGCACTTCCACTCTTTCTTATCCTTGTGCTAATTTTCGCATTTCCCTAAAGCTAGAACATCACACATCCTTAACTATTTGTAAACAGTAATCTAATCTAGGTCTAACTCTACTCCTCTTAACTCCTGTTTCTGCTTTTAGTATGTCTCTGACTAGTCCTTCATCTCTGAAAAGGTGTCCTACCAATCTATCTCGCCTATTTTTTATTGACTTCCATAGAGTCCTCTGTTCACCTATTCTTTCTAATACCTCTTTATTTCTAATCTTCTCTATTCACAGTAACCTCATCATTCTCATGTAACACCACATATTGAATGCTTCTAACCATTTCTTTTCCGCCGCACCCTTTGTCACGCTCCAAACATGCACCTTTAACAATAATTTTTGAATTTCTAAACCAACTTTTCGTGAGCATAAAAGTGACTTCTTTTTGTTGAAGGCGACTCGACCCTGTGCTATCCTCTGCTTTATATCCCTACTACTGCTTTTTGGATAAACTGAAGTTCTTCAACCCAATTAGATAATGAAAAATCTATCAGTATAAACAAAGAAGTAACATATGCCCCTTAACCTATGCATTATTTCTAGGACTTCTTTTGTTAACGAAACTGACACCAGATTAATATGGTATAAAAAGAACCTAAAATAAATGTTAACATTTACATTGCCACAAAGGATACTTCCACATTAATGCTGCTTTTCTACTTCTGACATTTCTAGAACGTTGTTTAAAATCTGTCTATTGAAAGTTACAAATGTCAAAGAAATCGAGGTTTCTAGTCTACTATATTTTATTGTTACTTATCAATTCATGTTATAACTTCCTTTAACTATAACATGTTGTCACCGTTTCCAGTGCAAAAACGGTATCTTTAGGGTTTTGTCAGAACTGTAGGTACTACTACTTTGCAGGGTGAAAGAGAAACCAATGTTTTATGTTTTTTATCCTCCAGTAAAATGAAATTATTATGTGAGATTATTCAGAAATAATTAATTTAGCTTCCCTATTAAAAAACGTGTGTAAAATATCCGCATCACGGCTTATTCGAAAATATAACTTTTCTTGTTGGAAATGGCTTAAAATAACTTAATCATGAAATACTTACATGAAATAATCGCGGGGAAGGTGTTTTTAATAGTTTTAATTGAAAATAAACACTTTTAGATTACACTTAACAGTCATTTTGGTAGTCGGCGTTAATGGTTAAACTCCTGTAGTACTGCTTTTAGTTGGAAAAGGTCCATTTATAAATAAAAGAAAAAAATAGGAAGATGCTTTACCCAATTTTATCTGTAAATAATTATTTTATAGGTATGCTATATGTTAACATGTATAATTAAATATGCGAATTTCAGTCACTTATCATAAATAATACCATAGATAATAGATACACAAAGGATAACACTCACTTTCTGACTTTGCCTCTACAGTTCAAGTTGCATTCGCTTAAAATGTGATATCCGCTCAACAGTTTATACAATGTGAATAGATACAAATTGTTTCCGTTCCAAGAAGTAGGGATGGGCGATGTTGAAAAAAATCATCGATGTATGACCATCGACGTTCCAATATTTATTACATCGATTGTTCGATGTTTTCTTAAATGGAACAATCGATGTTTTCATGAATGGCGGGATAATTTAAATTTTAAAAATTTTAATTCAGGTGTAATTTAAAAAAAGTAATTGACTAAAGAAAAAATGATTATCAATCCTTTCACCAGAAAACATCGAACAATCGATGTAATAAATATTGAAACATCGATAGTCATACATCGATGATTTTTTTCAACATCGCCCATCCCTACTGCAACCACATTTTAGCTTCGGCATAATATAACAATTGGTACAAATACAGCGTTGCCATCTTTTCATTTTTAAGTCCCCCACACCGAATGGAAAATTTCCTTCTTTTCTCGATTAATTGGGATTAAATTTCCCCATATTTTTTTGACTTTTCCCATACATTTTTATTAGCTTAATTTGCATTCATCAATTAATTAAAAGTTTATCAAAATATTTTTTATTACTATTAAAAAATAGTAAAAGCAGCAAAAATTCTAGGTAACACTCCAATAAAGTATATTTCAGTCATTGGTAACTTTTAAAATAAAAGTTGTTCTTTACCTGAACACACAGAGATAGTAAGATGAGGTCAAATATATTCAAAGTACAAATAAAAATGTCAAGCAACAAATTTAACCGTCGAATATGTAAGAAAAAACAAGAAATAAACTTTGGTGACAAAACACCAATATTAATTTTCTCCATAAAATCCCACTACTTACTGTTTTCCCCTTTCTCCCATTCAAACATATTTTCTCCACGATGTGGGAATTTCCCTATGAGACGCGGATGTGCTAATGTTATACAAACATAAACTAAATCCCCAAACAAATAGTTCGTTCACAATACATAGGCGTGTGCTTGTGTATATGCAGTGGAGCATGAGCAATGAGCTGCAGAACTTTTGAGCATGGGCACAAAATCGAACAAAAAAAACTTAGGGTCGATTTAGTCTAAATTATCTAGAACAGAAACAATTGCGTTTTTTAAAATATCGTACATGACATTTAAGCGCAATGGCAATCATATTATTAAATTTTCTTTTACTTTGACAAACAAACTAATGTTACTTGCTTTAATTCAATTTTAAATTGGTGAAATAAATAAGTATGAAGGAGTGGGAAGTAGGTATGGATTGAATCCTAAAGCGGTCGAATTTTTATAATAATAATTTAATAATTTATAGAGACTATGTATATTGCTACTAATTTTAGAAGAAAATGTGTGCAATGGCTAGTTCGAAGGCCCGCTTTTACTTTTTCCTTACTCCTAATCAGCAGTTTAACTATTTTATCTGCACTTATGGTGGTTGCTATTTCTCCCGTTGCATTAATTCTTGATTATTTAGGTGCTTTTATTAACTCAGGTAAGTACTATTTTATAAAAATTTAAAATAAAATTTTTTAAACGTCAGGAACATATTTTTTATTGCCTTATTTTACTGTCTTCATGGTAAATACATGTACAGTGTGTTGCCTAAATATCATGACAATTTAAAAGAAAAAAATTGATATCAGTTTACTGTTTATTAATTGCATATTGATATATGCATCTCTCTATTATTTCAGATGGTGCGACGACAATTTATACTGTGCTTTTCAGTGGCTTCTTGTTAGCTGTAATTATTACAGCAGTGATAATGATAATATTTCTAGTAATAACTTGTACAAGCATAATTTATTCTCATAAGTCATTTTTGATATATAAACCAAAGAAAAATAGCTAAGGACAATATAATGCTAGAGAATTATTTGTTTGTACTGTAATAAGATAATCTACAGGTGTCTTTAGTTAGTTTCCATATAAATTGCAGTTTTTAAAATGTATCACCGTGTTAATTAAAACTACTTTTCACCTCCGTGTGAAACCATTTTTAATTTTTTATGAAACAATTATTACAAGTAATAAACAATTTAAAGAAGTAGCCTAGATCACTCCTGACAACTTCCTGTTCATGCCTATAAGTTTCATTGAAGTCGATCCAGCACTTTTGAAAATTAGTTCATTTAGTGAAAAAAAAAATTTAAAGGTGGTTTGTATTAATAATCATATGAACTTAAAAAAGGCACATTTCGATATTATATCAACAGAAACTAGAGTTTCATTATAAATAATCCAATAATAAGATAGACTCGTATTTTGCCCACTTCTAATGTGAGAATTATCTACACATGTCTGGCGTTAATAGTTTTCACACTGTTATTATGATATTTTTCCAGGGAATACAGTATTTCAACGAAAAAGAATGTTTAAATTTAAGTTATTATCTGTGTGCAAGCAGTAATACTTTTAAGTCTTAAAAACAGAAAACAAACAATTTGTTTAATTAATTGATAGCCACCCTGGAATAAAAATTAAAATTAACGGTCAGGAATCTAACTTAAAATATTATATTAATTATTAATGTTTATTAAAACAAGACTAAAACTACCATTGAAGAAGTATACCATAATGCATAACCATTACATTTAATCTTTTATTCTAACCACATAAATTTAGAAGAAAAAGTAAAAGCAAGTACGATTTGTTTTTATTGTAGTTTTTTTTTTAAACTGATCTAGTAGCTTATCGATTGTTGTGCAAGTCTGTATTTTAAAGTTTACAAAGTATATAGAAGGTTTCAATACAATAGAAAATAAATTGAAACCAAAAGATGAAGGCATTTCAAACAATTGTGGATATACTAAATCGTATTATTACACAGTATGAACAATATCAATCACATTACAAGAATTCTGAAATGAACATCTTTTTGGAAAATATAAACGACTTGGTTTGCCTCAAAAGTAAATGTGAAATAAATAATGAATATACATACAATGAATAATCCATTTGTATATTTAAAAATTAATTCAAAAATCTTTTTTAGTTACTATTAACGGGCAAATGGTGCTACATCTGTGCACTGAAACAATCTTTAAAGACTTTTTAAAAGCAACTCCAAATATTTCTGTAAAATTTGTCACTGCTAAAATGTTATCCATTACAACTTCAAAAAACTATTATAACGGTGTAATTTAAAAAAAGTAATTGACTAAAGAAAAAATGATTATCAATCCTTTCACCAGAAAACATCGAACAATCGATGTAATAAATATTGAAACATCGATAGTCATACATCGATGATTTTTTTCAACATCGCCCATCCCTACTGCAACCACATTTTAGCTTCGGCATAATATAACAATTGGTACAAATACAGCGTTGCCATCTTTTCATTTTTAAGTCCCCCACACCGAATGGAAAATTTCCTTCTTTTCTCGATTAATTGGGATTAAATTTCCCCATATTTTTTTGACTTTTCCCATACATTTTTATTAGCTTAATTTGCATTCATCAATTAATTAAAAGTTTATCAAAATATTTTTTATTACTATTAAAAAATAGTAAAAGCAGCAAAAATTCTAGGTAACACTCCAATAAAGTATATTTCAGTCATTGGTAACTTTTAAAATAAAAGTTGTTCTTTACCTGAACACACAGAGATAGTAAGATGAGGTCAAATATATTCAAAGTACAAATAAAAATGTCAAGCAACAAATTTAACCGTCGAATATGTAAGAAAAAACAAGAAATAAACTTTGGTGACAAAACACCAATATTAATTTTCTCCATAAAATCC